ACCAAGTTTCACCGCACGAGGAGCAAGGATGGCAAGTTGGCGAGACGGAAGGACATCCTCCTTGACGGCGTGAGGAGCAACTCGCATCCTGGTGAGTCTGGTCCTCGAGTTGTCCTTAAGATCCTTGAGGGTATTCTAGTGTCTTGCTGAGGATCCTGTGTTTGTGAGCTCCTCTGGTTTTCTCTGCGTGTTCTTCCTCTCTTCCTTTTCGGTTTTCTTTTTTTCTTTCTTCTTCTTTTTTCTTTTCTTTTCTTTCTTTCTCTTTCTTCCTTCTTCTTCTTCTTCTCTTTTCTAATTTTTCTTCTTTTTCTTTTCTGTTCTTTCTCCTTTCCTTCCTTTTTTTAATGTTTGAGCTCCTTTTCTCTTCGTGTTCTTCCTCTCATCCTTTTCGTTTTTTTTTTCTGTTCCTCTGGTTTTCTCTGCGTGTTCTTCCTCTCTTCCTTTTCGTTTTCTTTTTTCTTCTTCTTTTCTTTCTTTCTCCCTTCCTTCCTTCTTTTTTTCTTCTTTTAATGTTTGAGCTCCTCTGCATTTCTCTTCGTGTTCCTCCTCTCATCCTTTTTCCGTTTTTTTTTTCTTTCTTTCTTTCTTCTTTCTTTCTGTTCCTTCTCTTTCCTTCCTGTTTTTTTTAACTTCTTCTCCTCTCTTCCTTCCTTTCGTGTTTTGTCTTGTCTTTTTTCTTTTTCCCATCCTAATTCTTTCCTCCTTCCTTTCCATTTTTCTCCTTCTCTCCCTGTGTCTGTCTGTCTGTCTATAGCATTTGGTATGTCTTTCTCTTTCTCGTTTCCCAGCCCGAATTTATTTATTTTTTTGCTAAACCGGTTATGATGATTGTGTGTGTGTGTGTGTGTGTGTGTGTGTGTGCGCGTGCGTGCGTGCGTGTGCGTGTGCGCGTGTGCGTGTGCGTGTGCGTGTGCTGTGTGCGTGGTGTGCGGTGTTTTGGAACCCCCCCTTCCTTTTTTTTCCTCTTTCATCTTGCTTCCATAATCCCCAACGAGTGAGCAATTATTATTCGCTTTCTTCTTCTTCAATTACTGTTACTTCTTTTTTTCTTCTTCAATTTAAACCATTTTTATTATTGTTATTTTAGTTACTACTATTTCTTCTTCAGTTACTGTTTTTATTGTTATTATTATTTCCTTCTTCGTCTTCATCTCTTTCTTTATCTTCTTCTCTTCTCCTCTTCCTTCTTTATTACAACCTTTGCCTTCTACAGTTACTAATTTTTTTTTTTTTTCTTCAATTATTCTTATCTCTGCTTCTTCTTTTTCTCCAATTACCACTTTTTATTATCATTCCACTCCAATTACAACTACTGCTTCTTCAATTACAACTATTTCTCCTTCTTTTCCTCCTCCTCCTCTTTCCTTTCCTTCCTTATTTTTCCAGGATTCGCTTGGTCCTGTTAATCCATTTTTACGGTGTTCGGAAAATCCAACATTCTTTCTTTCTTTCTTTTACTTTTTTTTTTGTATTTTCTCCCTCTACCATTTTCGTATTTCGGTAAATTGTAGTATTAGTTGGGGTATTTATGGCTAATAAAAAGTGGGGAGGATCTGCAGTTCATTTATTTTTAGTAAATTGCTTTTGTAAGGCGCTTTTATTTAGTATTTTTTTTTCTTTTTTTTTTAACTTTTTTTTTTTACAAGATATTGATACCTTTCTAATGAACGACTTACTTGATCAGCTGATTATTCTCGCGAATCTATTTTATTTTAATTTCTTTTATTTTTCACCTTTTTCTCCCCGAATCGGTATTTGAAACGATTTGGGGAGTTACGAAAGGAGGAATAGAGAGAAAATATGAATGAAAATGGGATAAGTAGTGATAAAGAAAGGAGGGAATAAGGCAGATTAGCAATCGGCTTTACTGCAGTACAAATAGGGTATTTGTGGCGTATAACAAAGGCGGGATTATTAGTCCATTTATTTTTAGTAAATTGCTTTCTGGATGCGTTTTACCTGATGTTATATATATATATATATATATATATATATATATATATATATATATATATATTATTTATATATCTATATAGGCATAGATCTTTTTTACCAGATGATAATACCTTTTTTTAATGAATTGTTTCATAGATCAGCTGATTGTTCAAAATTAGTCTGGAGAATCTATTTTATTTTATTTCATGCTTCATCTTTTGCTTCCCAATCAGTGTTGATATGAGTTCGAAGAGGGAAAAGGAGGTGACTATAAGAAGTATTGGATAAGACGTATTAGCAATCAGCTGTAGAACGAGGTTGCGTTATTGAGAAATTAACGTATTATCACTCTAGACCAGGGTTGCGTTATTGAGAATCTAAGAAAATGAATTTAGAAAATACTTTACCTTTTTTATAGAGGATTAAAATTAGATTATGAAGGTAATTTGGCCTTTTTTATGTAAGGGAGAAAATAGTGTCTGTCTGTGGAAGTAATTTGCATTATGTTTATGTGAACATTATAAATGGTAATGTGGTTGTGACCGCGCGTGTCTGTTTTTAGAAAGGAATATTTTGGTTTCTCTCTCTTTTTCTTTCTCTTTCTTTTTTCCTCTCTTTCTCTCCTCTCTCTTTCTCCTCTCTCTCTCTCTCTCTCTCTCTTCTCTCTCTCTCTCTCTCTCTCTCTCTCTCTCTCTCTCTCTCTCTCTCTCTCTCTCTCTCTCCTCTCTCTCTCTCTCTCTCTCTCTCTCTCTCCCCTCTCTCTCTCCCCCTCTCTCTCTCCCTCTCCTCTCTCTCTCTCTTCTTCCTCTTTCTCTCTCTCTCCCTCTTCTTTTCTCTCTCCCTCTCCCTCTTTTTTCTTTTCTCTCAAATGTATTGATATAATTAACAGGTTTGTTGTGCAATAAGCTAATAAGCATGTATTCGAAAGGACATCAGTGGATCTGAAATTATTCTGATGCCACACCCACACTCAGAACCTGTTTTACACATACACAAAACGTACACACACACACACACACACACCACACACACACACACACACACACACACACACACACACACACACACACACATACACATACACATACACACACAACACACACACACACACACACACACACACACACACACACACACACACACACACACACACTTATAAATTAGAGTGAAATACACACTCCAACACTCCAACCCACTTCCCCCCTTCCTCGTTAAAAGAACCCACCCCACCTCCCTCACTCCCCCTAACCCCAAGCACGCCCCAACAATATCCCAAGCGTGACAGATAGCGTGACTAACCTTCCCCCCCCCCCTCCCCCCCTTCCTCCCTCCCTTCCCTCCCCCTCCTTCTCCCCTCCCCCTTCCCCCTCCCTCCCTTCCCCCTCCCCCTTCCTCCCCCTCCCCCCCTCTTGTTCCTCCCTCCCTTCCCCCTTCCCCCTCCTTCCCCCCCCTCCCCTTCCTTCTCCCCCCCTCCCCCTTCCCTTCTCCCCCTCCCCCCCTCCCTCTTTTTCCTCCCTCCCTTCCCCCTTCCCCCTTCCTTCTCCCCCTCCCCCCTTCCCTCTTTTTCCTCCCCTCCCCCCCCCTTTCCTTGTCGCTCCAGACGTGAGTGTAGAGCGGCAAGACAGCACGACGGATTATGCTGCGGATAATTCCTCGGCCGAGCACTCCTCCTCCTGTACCCCGGTGTCCATGTCCCCGAGGAGAGGACCGATGCTGTCCCAGAACCGTCAGAACTCCCAGGGTAAAAGGCGTCGTGGGGGGTCTTGGGCTTTTTTTTTGTATTTATTTATTTATGTGTCTATTTAGTGTCTATTATTTATTTATTTAGTGTCTATTATTTATCTATTTAGTGTGTATTATTTGTGATTGGTATTTTTAGCTGTTTTATCTTTATTTATTTAGTGTCTATTATTTATCTATTTAGTGTGTATTATTTGTGATTGGTATTTTTAGCTGTTTTATCTTTATTTATTTAGTGTCTATTATTTGTGATTGGTATTTTTATCTATAATCTTTATTTATTTAGTGTCTGTTATTTGTGATTGGTATTTTTATCTATAATCTTTATTTATTTAGTGTCTATTATTTGTGATTGGTATTTTTATCTGTTTTATCTTAATATCTTTTTTGTCTATTATTTGGATTGGTATTTTTAGCTGTTTAATCTTTATTTATCTTTGTCTGTTATTTGTGATTGTATTTTTATCTTTTGTTTGTATTATTTGCTTAACTTTTTTGATATAGTAAGGTATTGTATTGATACTTCTTATTGTGTAGAATAGTTTGGTTTATTGGTAGTTTTTTGTATATAGATGAAGAGTATTTTTTTCTGTGTATGTTAGTAGGAATATTTTTTTTCTCTATTATTTTAAAGGTAAACTGGACAGTTTTAGCTTGTCTCAGATCTATATTTTTTCCATTCCCACCTTTTACTATGAGATATCTTTCTATTTTTCTTTTGATTATTTGGTTATATTTATTGATTAAATAGAATTAGATCGTTCTCTTTGGTCGATATGTTTAAGATTCCTTAATTTGATTGTTAATGTGCAGCTTTTTCGCTCTTCTTAGATTGTATTTTTTCTTCTTTGCGTTATGACATTTTCTTTTTATTGTACTTGTGTATTTGATATTCTGCCTACATTTCGGTATTTAGTTTGTGTTATACACTAACTTTAGTACTCTATTCTTATGTTTGGTATTCTTAATCTGATGTATTCTTTACTAGTGTATTAGTTACCAGGTTCTGTGAAAACGACTTGAAATGGTTTGCTCAAATTTGTTTGAATATAGTTCTTTAACAAGACAATATATGAAATAAATGTACCTAATGTAGTGTCATGATTGTGGAAGAGGACATGGGTGAAATTAAAGATTTATTAAGATTTAAATGAATCCGGATTGAGGTTAAATGAATCTGGATCGGAATTCCTGCAGTTTATTTATTTAAAATCTCTTTGGGGATGCTCGGATGACTGCAAAATCTTCAAAGAGGAGAATGTACTCTGGATCAATTGACTGATATTCTCTCTCTCTCTCTCTCTCTCTCTCTCTCTCTCTCTCTCTCTCTCTCTCTCTCTCTCTCTCTCTCTCTTCTCTCTCTCTCTCTCTCTTCTCTCTCTCTCTCTCGCTCTCTCTTCCTCTCTCTCTTTTTCTCCCTCCCTCTTTCCCTCTTTTCCTATTTATTCTCTCCCCCTCCCCTCCCTCCCTCCCCCCTTTCTATTTCTTCTCCCTCCCTCCCTCCTCCCTCTTTTTTCTATTTCTTCCTTTCTCTCCCTCCCTCCTTCCCCCCTTTCTATTTTCCCTCCCTCCCTCCCTCCCCCCACTCCCAAACAGACGTAGGTGGCAGTGCCCTCTCCGGCGCCCCGGATCCTGGCGACCTGAGCAGCGTGCCCAGCGGTGCCAACCCTTCCAGCCTCACGCCCCCCACCCCCGCCCGTGCCCAGGGGGGGTTGAGCAGCTCCCCGGCCAACCTGGAGCAGACGGAGAGCGACACGCCCCAGCCGAATCAGGTAGGGCTGGGACGGCCGCGGTGCTGCTGTCGCTCGCTGGGTTGGGAGAGTGCGTGCGGAGTTGTATTGTTTGTTGTTATTTTTTGGCATGTTATTATTTTGTCTTTATTATTTTTATTGTTATCATTATCATTATTATTATTGTCATTTTTATATTGTTATTCATTTATTTATTATTATTGTTTTTATTATTATTGTTATTGTCATTTTTTTTTATATTATTATTTTTTTATTATTATTATTGTCATTTCTCTTCTTAATTATTATTGTTATTATTATTTTTTATTATTTTTTTATTATTATTTTTTTATTATTGTTATTATTATTATTATTATTATTTTATTATTATTATTATTATTATTATTATTATTATTATTATTATTATTATTATTATTATTATTACTATTATTACAAGTAGTATTACTATTATTGATTATCATCATCATCCAAAGATTGGAGGTTTTTTTGTAAGTAAGACCCATAAAAGTACATCAGAGTACACCTTATGATTCTCTATGATTTGGAAAGCTTTGACTGGAGTTCAAGGAGTGAATTTCAGGTTTGCTATTTTTGGCTCTGAGCATTTGTGTGTGGTCTGGTTTTCTTCCCTTTAATCTTTGCGGGGTGAAGCATTGCACATTTTCTTGCACAGATTTGATGTCATGTTTATGCACTTTGCTAAAGTACAGCTTTTGTTTTTTTGTTTTGAGTTTTTTTTTTTTTTATTGTGTCCTGATTTTTTTTATTATGTCCAAGAAGGAGGAGAGTATGCGATCATATTTTATATGTTGAGGGTTTCTGTAACCTATAAAATTTCCCCTTAAGTAGAAATTTGTAAAATAAGCGTTTGATAAATCGAACACCAGATTTTTTTTTTTTTTTTGTAATTCTAGTCCTTTGGATAATTTGCTCAACACCAGTCTTTCCTCCTACCACTAGGCCTCGAGCAGCGGAACGGTGTACGAAGTGTGGTCTCAGGAGGTCAGTTTTAGGGTGACCTGACGTTTCCGGGGGTCACTTAGGACTCCTCACCCTTCCCCATACCCTTCCCCATACCCCCCCCCGCCTCCTCCATCCCCTCCCTCTTACCATTCTTGGAGCCTCTGGTAGATTCCTTGTTTTATTTTTTTTATTTTCATTTTTTTGCTTCATAAAAGGTTCTTGTCGTTATTAATTTAAAAAGTATATACTTCATTGTTGGAGTTTCAAACTGACCAGTCAAGGAAATACTTACAATTGGCTCCAAGGAATGTATTCCGATTTGACGTCCGCGTTATATCTGAATAGTAATACTTGTCACTAACACCATAATATCACTTGACTGTCCAGTACCACTAAATGAAATAGGGGTTGCCTCCGTAGAGTTTTGTGACTGGCCGGGAGCGCCGGCGTAGTTCTCCCGTTCGCTAACTGGGATTAGAACTTTTTTGATTTAGGAATTAGTGTATGAATGAGTAATATTAAGAGGTTTGAGGCATTGTATTATAGTGTATTATAATGTCACGTAACCAGGTAGTGATTATAAGATTTTTTTTCTTAGAGTAAAGGTTTTGCTCAGTGTAATTAGGTAAGACTTGCACATAGTAAAAGCTCGATAAAGCATTGTGCTCTTGGAGAATTAGTTGCAAGGCGTGCATGTGAAGGTGCTAGTGCATGGGAGTATGCATGGGAGATGGTGACTTTTGGTACACATGAAGTTAAAATGCATGTGACATTGCAAAGTAATGGTTTGGTATGTGATGCAATAATTGAAGCCCTTCTCTGAACTACGCATATATATATTACACACACACATATATATATATATCATATATGTATACATATCCACATTTACGTGATATATGTAACATTCATAATAAATATGCAAATATGTTCATACTCTCACTAATGATTTAACCAATTACAATGCCATCGTTAGTTCCCGCGTGTTCAGAACATGCTTGCGTTTGCCTCCCTGCTTGTGCTTGACTGACACACCCTCCTGAGCGGAAAGTAGCCAATGCCCTCATGTCGGTGCCTAGATGCATTCTACTCACGTAAGATTCCCCTGTTG